AGGAAACACGCAGGAAACTAATTAATGAAAGTCAGTAAACTGGATTTTCTCGGGTGTTTCTGCACGATCAGTCGTCTTTGTGATGAACTTCAGTCGCCCCCTGCTGGCTGTTTTAGAAACGGCCCCTTTAAGGCGCCTCATTGTCTTCTCATTTAAACACCGACTCAGGATCATGAATGAGTCTGACCCGGACTATCGTACCGCCCCGTTTATCGGAGGAGGGAACGCCGTCTTTGTTCACGTTCATGTTTTATTGAGTAGATTTCACTCGAAGGTCAGAGGTCAGACGCCGCTGAGAGTGAAAAACCGTCTCTTCATGATTTCTGGAGCCTGTCGGACTGTCAAAGTTCGTCAGCCGCTGTGATTTCTGTTTACGTCTTTATCTCCGTCCGGCTGCTTTTGAAAGGTCAGCAGACACTCAGGGTTCAATATTCCCTCTTCACAGACGCCATTATCAACACGGTCAGAGTTTTCAGCCCGTCATCGACTCGCAGACTCTGAGGTCGTCCTCAGGCGTCGCTGAAATCCTCTTTCCTGTACGCACACTGATCGGGGAACATCATCTTCTGCTCCGACAGCAGGTCGTCTGTGACCGTGAGCTCCTCCAGCTCCGTGGTGAAGTGGTCGGTGCTCTCCACCATCGACGTGTCTTTGACGGCGCTGTACGTGAGCGCCACGCTGTACGCCGTGGGTTTCTCCGAGCCTTTTCTCCCGCAGCGGCAAATCTTGCGGAAAGCGGCTCGAAACTTCTGCGACATGGCGTTGTAGATGACCGGGTTGATGGCGCTGTTGAGGTAGATACAGATCCGGCAGAAGAGGAGGAACCAGCTGTCCAGGTAGGCGTGGTCTAGGAAGGAGTTGACCACCACCAGAGTGCGGTATGGCATCCAGAGCATGGCGAACAGGATCACCACCACGGCGAGCATCTTGGTCACCTGTAGAGCACGAGAACAAGAGGAGGACGAAGTTTTGTTTACGTCGTCATTCAGGTTTTTTTAAAGGGATATTCTGACGTAAAATTAATTCAGGGTCAAAGTTGGTAAAACTAGAGAAGTAAGGGGGCGGGGTCTAACTCTAGATTAATTTAAATTTTAAAGTATCCCTTTAAGAATCATGTTAGCTTCAAATCTAAATCAGTTTTTATATCAAACTAAACTTCAGAGTTACTTTAATAAACGACGCTGACTCAGGAAACAAACGCTGGACCTGAATTTGACCGACTTTGTCACCTGACCTCCTCCTGGACTCTCGTCAAAATAACTTGAACCATCAGAGATAAACACCGAACCAGCTCCGACTCCTCTTTAAAATCACTGAGAGTCCTTTAAAACCTGCAGACTGGAGTTTTCGCCGTTTTACGACAATCATCAGAAATCTATACGTTAAAGACAAAAAGAGCGATTCCACCTTTTTTTCACCAGCAGAAACGATATTTCCTAATTTTCTCAAATAAAAAAACAGTTTCACAAAAATCTAAAACTCGGACCAGATCTAAGAAATCCAGGTCCTGTTTTTGGGAAGGACCTGGTCCTCTGTGGTCTGTGAGATCGCTCTGTCTCCTAGTTTCACTCAGAAATTAGAGATTTATCTGATCTGACTCTGAGGTTTTAAATCAGGATCTGTTCAGATCCAGGACCCTCAGTCTGTCTTTGACTTTAGTTCACTGGGACCAGATCGGAGACTCTCTGTATTTTGAGTCTCAGGTCCTGGACTTCTGTGGTCATGACCCCAAATCTGTGAAATCACCAGTTTGTGTTTTTTCACAAACAGAAATAAAGTTTAAAAAAACCGAAAACTGTATTTGACAGAGTGATCGGGGCAGGAGAGGTGGTTCTGGATCAGGATCTGGTCTTGATTTCTGCTTTTGCGTTTTTACTGAAAGAAGTTTCTCAAACCAGATGATCTAGATCAGATTAGATCAGATTAGATAAAATCAGATTAGATCAGATTAGATAAAATCAGATTAGATCAGATTAGATCAGATTAGATTAGATCAGATTAGATTAGATCAGATTAGATCAGATTAGATCAGATCAGATCAGATTAGACCAGATTAGATCAGATTATATCAGATTCCTGACTGATCGTGATCGTGACCAGCTCCCCCCCGTCCCCGGACCTCACCCACCTGTCTGCGGGACGTGGCGGTGGAGCTGGAGTGCCTGGAGTTCTTGCAGCTGCTCTTCTTGTTGTTGGCGTGGTTGTTGTTGTTGAGTCCGGCCTTCTTGTCTTTGGGGTCTGAGGGCAGCGGGTTCAGGAACAGGATCCGGGCGATGAGTCCGTACAGCACCGCGGAGAGCAGCAGCGGCAGCACGAAGAAGACGCCGAAGTCGAAGAAGTAAACGGGGAGGTAGAACTTCCTGGAGACCCTGTAGCCGCACGTGATGATGGTGATGTTGTCGTACACGAGCTCCTGGATGTCGGACAGGTAGAACCACATGACGCAGTAGAGGGAGGTGAAAGCCCAGACGAACAAGATGATCTTTTTGGCTCTGGAGAGCGTGCAGAGGAACTGAGCTTTGATCGGGTGACAGATGGCGATGTACCTCTCGATGGTGAAGGCTGTGATGGAGCACGAGGACGCGTTGATCCCCAGATACTGGAAGTAGGTGATGCAGAGACACCCGGGGTGTCCGAACACCCAGGAGCCGAAGATGCTGTCCGTGATGGTGGGCAGACCCGCCGCTGTGAGCACCATCAGGTCCGCCACGGCCAGACTCACCAGGTAGCAGTTGGTCGGAGTCCGCATGTGTTTGGTGGTGAGAACCACCAGGATCACCATGACGTTCCCAACGATCCCTAAAGCGCAGATCACGAAGAGCAGCAGACTGCTGATCACTTTATACTGGACGCTGTAGTCCGTCCACGTCCCTAAAGTCTGGTTCAGGTCCGGAGATGTGGTCGAGTTCTCCATCTGGACGAGAATCTGTTGAAAACTGAAAACTGAACTTTTACGCGCGACAGAAAAGAGAGACAGCTCCGTGAAACCTGACACGATCACAGAGTCCAGAGTTGTTCCCGTGTCCGTGTCCTGTCCGTGTCCCCGGTCACAGCATCAGGGTTTGACACGGAGCTGCAGGACTCCCGTGTAAATCCGCGCCGCTGTTGTGCGTAAAAAGTGGTGCGTCTCCGCGCGCTCGTCAGAACAGTCTGTGTGAGTCAGACAGATGGCGCGGTGGTTTTGAGCTCTGCTCTTGGCACCGGCTCTCATTACGTCTGTGAGGGGATTAGCCCATTATAATATTTCCACAGCAGACCTCCCCCATCCACGCAGCAGCTCCGCCACCAAACAGGGACACGGAGGAGCGTCTTCCTGCTGCTCCGGTTGGCTGTTTGGTTTCGGCTTCTGTCAGATTACTTCAGTTTTTCCTCAGAGGAGAAGTCTTTCCTCTACAGACGAGCTCAACTCAGCAGGCTGAACAGAATCAGAGAGTTTTCAGTGGAGGAACTTCATCATCTCTGATCCAACAGTTTAGAAGAAGTTCAACGATTGTTCTGTCGGCAGACATGAGCAGTGACCGTCAGAGTATCTCTAAGACATCCTCACTATTCTGTTTTATTTAACAGCAGTTAAATTCAGACAAACTCAACCTTGAGAAAAGTTTCAGTCCTTTTCACAGATGAATTTCTCCCTCCTGGCATCAGAAATCCTCCCACTGCTTCTTTCTCCTCAGCTGTAATCCATCATAATAATATTCCAACAGCAGTGAGAAACAAAACGACAGAAACATCCTGTCGACCCAACAAAACTCTCTGGATATATTTTCATTTTACAGTTTCATAGATTTAAAGGTAAATTCTGCCGACAGTAAATAAGGAACTAAAACAGAGACTGAATCTGAGAAATAAAGAGGAGTCTGTTCTTTAAAGCTCCTGTAGGGAGTTTTATCTGGACATCAAACACTCTGATTAATAAAGGGGTCTTTAAATTATAGATCAGATTCAATAGATTATAGATCGATTAGATATTTGAGAAAATAAGGAAATATTTCTGCTGGTGAAAAAAAAAAAAAAAAAAAAAAATTTTGGTTGATCATAAATGTTCTTCCTTGAGCTGCGTCACCCCGCTGTAGTCTGTAATGGACTGGCCTGAGGTCTCTCTACAAACAAGCGTCTGCTGGAAGAGAGTAGGTGAGTTGTGTTTAGTCTCTTTGTTAAAGAAATGAGTCAAAGTTAAAAAGATGTTTGGTGTCTAGTACTATGTCTGTGACCCTATATGTCCTGTTGATGAAGTTAGGTGCTGTTCTGAGCATTATTTGTGGCTATAGAGTGGCGTTTTGGTTGAGGGCGTGGCTCTCTGTATTTCTATCCTGCGGTCGTTACTAAAGTTGGTATAACTAGAGAAGCAAGCGGTCGGCAACATTCATCTCTGGAGGGGGGGGTCTAACTCGGGGTTACGGTGAGTTTGACCATAAATTAAATTTACGACAGAATATCCCTTTAGATTTAAATCTAGTCAACATTTCAGATCAGTATGTCCCTTTATGTCTCGGCACCGTTGAGCAGTTTCCCAGCTGACCCAAAACAGTCAACAACCGTCCACATACGGTCCTCCCAGAGGTCCAAAGTAAATCTAATGAAGTGAAGATGTGAAATCAGATGATTTTAAGAGACTGAATTTACATTTGAGCTTTTTTTAATGAAGCTTTTTAAACACATAGGCCAACAAAAGAGCTCCAAACACACAAGAAGAATAATTCAGACAAAATGACAACAGAAAGTAAAACAGAAGAATCTCCACAAGACTAAGAGAGACACCACGACATAAATATCTGAAATAAAGACAAACATCATGTTTCAGAGCTGATGTTAAAACTACAGAGAGAGAAGAACCAGCATGAGAAGATCAGCAGAGACCTGAACTCACGGCCGCTCTGTCCAACAACATGAGAACAGCAGCTCTCTGTTCTCCGTACAACAGTGTGGAGGTGGAAACTCTCCTCCACACCAACTGTGATCATTCTCATTCTCCACTGAAACCTCGGGCACGCACACACACACGCACACACACACACACACACACACACACACACACACACACACACACACACACACACTGCGATCACACGGCTGAGGCTGCCAGCCATCCATCCTCAGCAACAGGTGGAGCTGGAGACAGTGAATTACATAAGAACCTCCTCCTCTGCTCCTCCCAAGATTCCCATGATCTCCTCTGGAGGAGGAGAAGGAGACGCTTTTGGATCCTCCTGATACCAACCGGGTCTGATCTGTTTGACTGGAGATAGTTTTCTGAAATCTGGACTCCAGTCTGGTTTTGACCAACTGCTGGACCATAAAATGACCGAACATAAAAACCCCTTTAAGACCTGGTCACAGACCTGCAGAGAGAAGAAGAATCAGTCTGAGTTTATCTGTCCTGAGATCATCGACAGACTCACAGACTCTCATCCTGCTCCACAGTTTCTTTATTTTCTTTTTTACTGTTTTTACTGAGAACCAAAGTTTGATCACAGAGGAGGAGAGCAGAGGGAGGAACACGACCAGAGGAATACAGGGAAGAGCATGACTGCCCCCTACAGGACACTCTCACCCACTACCTGAACTTCAACCTGACAGAGGAGCTCTCAGACCTCTCAGATACTTGATTTATATATACTGTATATATATACATATATATATATCCTTATTTCTGGTCCATTACTTCTCATACAGTAATTTAAGAAATGCCCATGTGTTTTTTTTTGACTCTAAGAAACTTTATTTTGAAGTATTTCCATTTCCTGTCTCGGTTTTTGTCCCTGAGAGTCTGCAGCTGTTTTCATCAGTCTGCAGATTTTCCTCCACGTGTTTTACAAGAAGAACAGAAAATTTTCTTTTTTTCATCTCCATGTTAAATTAAAAACGGAGATTTTGTCAGTTTCAACATTTTTTGCAGAATCCAGTGAAGTAAAGATCTGGACCAGATTTAGACTTGGTCTAAAAAACGTTGATTTTTAAAACTGTGGTGGTCTGATTTTAGACCAGTCTACATGTAGACGTCTATTAGACCAAAACTGCTCAGTGAGACGTTTCACCTCTTTCATGTTGTCAGAGTTGATTTAGTTTTGAATCAGGATTTCTGAGAGTGAAATCTGATATTTTCAGTCACTTCATGACTGACAGGATAGATCCTTCAGAGTTTTGATTCTGGTGCTGCAGGTCACAAAGGTCATCCAGGGTCACAGAGGACCGACTTTCATCTGGAATAATCGAGTCACTGAAACACGTCTGCAGAGAGAACAGAGAGTCTGAACGATCTTCAGTGAGAGATAAACCAGGAGGAGCAGCCGTCGCTCTGCCCGGTTTGAACCTGAAGTGTGCGACTGCAGAGCTGCAGGACTGATGACGTGCACAGACACACACACAGACACACACACACAGACCATTACCTTTGACAATAACAAAAACAGTCAGCGCCGTCTTCCCGCTGCGCTTCACTAACTGCAAACAAAACTGCTGCAAAAAGCCCATCGAGCAGCTCAGCAGAGAGGAGAGATGATGATTCTTCTGCAGGTTCTTCATGAATATTAAAGAGGCGGCCTCATGATCGTCCACCATGTGCAGCTTTAACACACACACACACACACACACACACACACACACACACACACACACACACACACACACACACACACCCGAGCCTCAGTAGAGCTGTACGCCGTAAAACCTGTCACTTCCTCTGAGTTATACGGCTGTTACAGTCTGTGCGCAGCAGTTAAACATATAAACACACACCTCTATTGTCCCATGAATCAGGAGTGAGCGCTCAGCTCTCTGCAGCGAGTTCTTCTGAATGTTAAACGACCTTTGAACCTGATTTACAGACGCAGTGGCAGCTTATTTTAAAGGAAGTCGATCCAAGTCGACTCAGATCCATACAGCTGTCAACCCTACACACACACACACACACACACACACACACACACACACACACACTCATACTGTACAGAGCCGTGACTCAAGGTTGATTATAACTCAGCTGCCCGCCGCTCCGGCCCTGACCTCCTCTGTTAGCGTTGAGCTCTTTGAGGGCGCCGCTCTGTAACCTGCTCTGACAGAAAGCGTCACTCCAGCTCATATGACTGATCTGTTTTCCTTCTTCTTCTCCTCCCACCACCTGTTTCATCGGCAGGCCTGAGATCACAGACTGAACATTAGAGGAGGATGAAGACACCTCTACCTCGTCCGTCAGTGTTTGAAGGTGAGAAATCTGATCCTGAATCAGCTGAAATAGAAAGACCTGAACCACAGACTGACATCCTGAACTTACTAAGACCGTGTTCAGTCAGGTTTATCAAGGCCAACCTCAGACAAAGACAGGTTTAGACCCAGACCATGTTCAGTCAGGTCTAACATGATCGAAGACTAACCTCAAAGACAGGTTTAGACTCAGCTCACTAACTCTGTCCTGATCCAAGACTCGACATAATCAATAATCCAAAATTCAATCACTTTTATCCAACTATAGTGTAACTTTGAGCTAATTGTACAATTTCAAAATATATATACTGCATCCTATCAAATCAAGTTGTGTCGTATTAAATCGTATCAAATTGTATCATAATAAATTGTTTCGTATCAAATCGCATTGAATCATATCATATCATATCGTATCGTTTTGTTTTGCATTGAATCGTATCGTATTGTATCACATCGTATTATATTATTAGTATTTTGTCACATTATAATGTATAGTATTGTAACAAATCGTATTAAATAATATAGAATAGAATCGCATTGTATCGAATCGCATTGTTTCGCATCGTGTTGTACCATTATACATCATATCGTATCATTTTGAATCGTATTGCATCGTACTGTATCGTATCAAATCGTAATGTATCGTATCGCATTGTTTTGCATCGTATCGCACCGAATCGCACCGAATCGTATCATACTATATCATTTTATATTGCGTTGCATATCGTATCGTATTGTTTCATATCGTATTGTTTCGTATCGTATCGTTTCATATCGTATTGTATCGAATTGAATTGTAATATATCGTTTCGTACCGTTTCGTACAGTATTGTACCCGATTGTATTATACGGTGTTGTACTCTTCATAATGTATCGTATCCTATAAATCATGTTATATTACATCGTATCACATCCTTTCATTTTTATCGTAGTGTTTGTTTTTATATCATATCACAAAGCCTCCTACTGTAGTATAATATATGGTTTTATTCAGTATTATATCATGTTTATCACACTGCAGCAGATGTACTGGAACATATTTTATCCTCCGATTCCTGAGGACTGAATCATTTCTCTTATTTTAGTCTGTGATCATATTCTATCCTGTTTTTACATGTTCAGACGTCTTTGTTAACACACTGATGTTAACACTGTCACATAAATAACCGTTAATCTGTTATTACTGCTCAAAAATAAAAACATTTATCTAGATATAAATGTAGATATAAATTCTTTAAGGGTTATTTTGTCCCCGATAAAGTGGATTTAGATCAAATTAAAACCTTCAAAGGAAAACTCAGTTCTTGTTTCGTTGTCCAAAGAAACGATGGAACCAGAACTGATGGCTGTAAACCATCATGAACCACAGAGACGCTGTAAAGGCTGAACATCATCTCACATTCAGAGGCCCATGGGTGTGAACAGAACCAGAATCTCAGAATTTAGAAAATGAATTTTAACTCTTAAATTAAGAGATCTGAGTGTTTGTTTCTCTCTCTGTCTCACACTCAGTGTTTACAGAGTTACGTAACTTTCTGAACACGTCTCGCAGCAGTTTCTGTCAGAAAAGATTAAAATCGTCTCCTGAAGATTTTCACGTCTAACCGGAGGATCATCCCTGAAGAGCAGACAGATGAACGCATGAAAGGAGACCTGTCTGCTGCTGTTTTTACTGGACGAACACTGAAGGGAACAGAAATCTTTATTTTTCTTTAAATTGAAGAAGAAGAAACTCTGAGATCGAGCAGGTTTCTGCCACCACCAGCTGGGGGCGCTGTGGTGCAGAAATCTGAAGCTTTGACTGTTGCTATAGTGATGCTCTGTACGTTTGTTTTGTTTGGCATGAATCAGAACAGCTCACTAAACTAAATGAGTTTATTTTCTCTCGTGTCAAAACTCCAAAATTCTCGTTTCTTTGTTTCCATCCTGGAAAAAAACACGTTTCATGTTTGTCATGTTTCTCGCTCCAAATAACCGTTTTATTCTCACTCTGTCCTGGTTTTTAAATAGGATTTATTTGGATTCAACAAAAACTGCAAACAAATAAAAACCCTCAGAAATATGATGCAGCAAATGTTGAGATGATCTGGCAGGAGAAGAAGAAGAAGAAAAAAGAGAAACCACCCCGCTCCAGTTGGCCCAGATTCTCCTTTATAAACCGAGACAGAACTGCCCACCCCGGACAGATTTACAGGACCGACAGCTGAATGTTGGTTTTAGTGCCCCCAAAACCCCCAGACTGAACGAGGAGCGTGTCCCATAACTGATGTATGAACTCTGGTGGTGTTTGTTTGTGGATGGAGACGGAGAAAAGTGTCCTCGGCGGATTAAGCCGGATGAGAGGAAGTGAAAAGGCCTTTAGTGTGGAGTCGATCTGCTGTCAGGGAACATTTCTGCTGATCTGTGTTTGTTTTATGGTTCCCCTGTTTGAACCTCGTCCAAAATATCCCTTAAGTTGTGACAGTAAAGAGGCAAATCAGGCCACACACACACACACACACACACACACACACACACACACACACACACACACACACACACACACACACACACACACAGAGCTCAGCTTAGCCCTGCAGCTTGACTCAGCTCTTCTGCCTCTGGATAGAGACCCTCAGCAGCAGTAATAAACCCGTTAATGTGTGTTTACACCAAAACACAAGCTCGCACATTCACACTCTGCGCTGCAACATAGTTCAATTATCACAATGTCCGACACTGCTGGGGTCTCGGGGGGTTAAACATTTAAAAGACGACAAATAAAAACAGAGATTGTTGCACAAAGAGAGCAGAGAGATGATGCATTAAAATCCTGGACAGACTCCTTCACCTCTGATTGGCTAGAAAAGCTGGAAACATCATCACACGCTCAAGTCAAAGACGTGTCGGCTCTGTACATCGAACAGAACATTATAGAACATTATCACAATTCTGGATATTCTAACCCTAACCCTAATCCTAATCCTGACCCTAACTCTAACCCTAACCCTTACCCTAATCCTAATCCTAACCCTTACCCTAATCCTAATCCTAACCCTTACCCTAAACCTTACCCTAACCCTAACCCTAACTCTAACCCTAACCCTCATCCTAAACTAATTATTATTCTAACCCTAACCCTAATCCTAATCCTGACCCTAACCCTTATCCTAAACTAATTATTATTCTAACCCTAATCCTAATCCTAATCCTGACCCTAACCCTTATCCTAAACTAATTGTTATTCTAACCCTAATCCTAATCCTAATCCTGACCCTAACCCTCATCCTAAACTAATTATTATTCTAACCCTAATCCTAATCCTAATCCTGACCCTAACCCTTATCCTAAACTAATTATTATTCTAACCCTAATCCTAATGCTAATCCTGACCCTAACCCTAACCCTTATCCTAAACTAATTATTATTCTAACCCTAATCCTAATCCTAATCCTGACCCTAACCCTCATCCTAAACTAATTGTTATTCTAACCCTAACCCTAACTCTAACCCTAACCCTCATCCTAAACTAATTGTTATTCTAACCCTAATCCTAATCCTAATCCTGACCCTAACCCTCATCCTAAACTAATTATTATTCTAACCCTAATCCTAATCCTAATCCTAATCCTGACCCTAACTTTAACCCTAACCCTCATCCTAAACTAATTTTTATTCTAACCCTAATCCTAAACCTAATCCTAATCCTGACCCGACAGACAGTGACATTTCAAAGCTGTAAAATAAAGACATAACCAATCAGAGCCCAGCACTGTTAGCCAATCAGAGGTGAAGTAGGGCGGGACCTTCCCCTACCATCCCACAAAAGTTAATTCTCAGTCATTCAGGAGGTTAAAATAATCTGAAGACCACGTGGACGTGTTTGATCACCCCTGTTCTGGTCTGACTTCTTCTCCTCCGGTGTCCCGGTCTAACCTTGGACCGCCGTCTCCGCCTCGCCTGCTATTCTTAGCCTGTCTTGCGTTTCGGCATCACAGCAGATCCGTCAGCGTAAAACGCCACACTTGGCCGGATGGCGTTAATAAAACGGGGCCTGCTGGTTGAGAGCGTCTCTGGAGGAAATGACAAATCAGTTCACATCATAAAAAAACAGAGCAGCAGCGTTACTACAGGAATATCGTGTGGGAGGAGGCGGTCTGGTGGCGCTCTCAGGTCGTGATGGAGCGGCGACTCGCAGGCCGCTGTAATCTCAGTGGATGGTTGTATTTTCCCTGCAAATGGCACTTTGAAGTCGTAGTTGGACGGATGTAACAAGTTTATGTCTGAGAGGAGGCGGCTGCAGGGCGAGGACACACACACACACACACACACACACACACACACACACGCACACACACACACACACACAGAGCGTCAGCTGAATAACTGGGCTGCTTTGCTCAAGGGCAGCGTGGCAGTTTGTGCAGATGGAGCCAAGATGACCTCCTCCATCCTCACCCTAACAAACACACACACACACACTCACACACACACACACACACACACACACACACACACACACACACACACACTCACACACACACACACACACACACACACACACACACTCACACACACACACAGGTTCACTGTTTCAAAGATCACGTTGTTGCTTTACTGCACAGTTTGACATGTGGACCCTCTGAATGCTGCATGTAGGATCAGCCTGATGACAGCGCCCCCCCAAGGCTCCTCTGTGTGTGTGTGTGTGTGAGTGTGTGTGTGTTTATGGAAGCATGCATGACTCCCTCTGACACGGCACAGTCATGGTTATGCATTAGAAGCTGCAGCAGCAGCAGCAGGCGTGCAGAGGCTGTGCGTGTGTTCATGTTGACCTGAGGTGTCGGAGAAACACGACTGAAGGTGTAACGGTGGATCTCAGCTCTGAGTCCAAACATGGAGTATTTATGAATATGTAAGAAGTGTTTTAATCCACTTTAATGTGGTTATTTTATTTTAGTTTAAGGCTGTTTTTACACGTATGAATGAGTCAGGAATCATGTATGTGAGTTTACATGATGGGTTTATGGCGGTGGTTTCCTGCAGCTCTGATGACGGTCGTGGAACTTTAAAGGTGTTCGGATGTTAAAGTTTTTTCTCAGGGTGTGTCCTGTTGTTGTTGTGATCAGGCGGGCGCCGCTCGCTGGTCCTCCCACTCCAGTAATAATGAGACTCTATAGAAACGTCTGATTAACGTCTGATTTCATAGTGATGGAAGGAGGCGTGTGTGTGTGTGTGTGTGTGTGTGTGTGTGTGTGTGTGTGTGTTATCTTACCTTCTGTTGTTCTGAGACTAAATAAGATGTGGACTGGATTCATGGATTCATGGATTCATGGATTCATGGATTCATGGCAGCCAGAGTCCAGAGGCTCCTACAGGATGACGGAGCTCGGTTCAGAAAGTTTTTTTAGTTTCATGGATTTTGTTCTGACTGTGTGTTTCTTCACTTGATCGCAGCAGCAGGTGGATTTATCCTCCGCAGGTGTCAGACGTGTCTGAAACAGAAATTCATGTTTCTCACTTCCTGTGATTTTAGCGCTCTTATGTAACAGTAACGACGGCCGCTCTGCTGCGTCTTATTTTGGTGATTCTGAAACTTCTCCTGCTGCTATTTTCTCCAGACGCTTCATTTTCTGCAGCTTCTTTTGTGCGCGCTCTTCTTCTCTTCTTCCCTTCTTCTCTGTTTCTTTTTTCTTCTTCTCTGTCTTTTATTTTCTTATTTCTGTTTCTTCTTCTCCTTTTGCTCCTTCAGTTACCACTTCGACAGCCTTTTCTTCTTCTGCAGCCTCCTTTCTTCGGCCTTTTCTTCCTCTTCTTGCACTTTTCTTTTGTTGCTGTCTTCTTTTACGTTTTCTTCTCTCGCTGCTTTCTTTGATTTTCCTCTTTACCTCTTTTCTTCATCTTCCTGTTTCTTCCCTTTTGCATTATCTGTTTCTTTCTCGCGTCTTCTTCTTTTGCATCTTTCTTCATCTGCGTCTTCTGCTGCAGGTCCGTCTCTGTTTCTTTCTTCTCTTTTTTCTTCTCTTGCTGGTTTTTACTTCATTTTTCCATGCCAGGAGTCATTTTTGGTTCCTTTAAATTGACAACATTAAAATCTATTCGACTCGTTCATGATAAACGTTTTCATACGTGGAGAAATGTCTCATTTCTGTGGTTTGGAATCAGAGCGATTCAGTTATTAGACTTTATAGATTGATGGACGTCAGATTTCTGCGCTTTGATTCACGTTATAAAGTGATTATTTATGATTATTAAAGGTTGTAGATTTGAGGGACTTCTGTGTTTTATGGTCGTGCAGAGACTGCTGATGGTCTCTCGTGTTTCTCTGCTGACTGCACACAAACTCCATGTTGTAAAATTCGATCCTTTTCCCTCCGTCAGGAATGTTGAAACCTCCCTGAAGTGCGCCGCTTTCACCTCCTTCTCCCTGACGATTGAACGTACAGCGAGCCGAGCGAACAGTCGATCCCCGGGGCGTCGATCATAATAAACAGAAGAAGTGACCCTGAGCGGTGGTGCGCTGAAGCGTTTTAAAATTGACCTTTGGCTCTTTTCACGTGTTTCTCTGTGGATTTCAATAAGGGACTCAGAAGGTCTCCTGTAGTCCTCCTCTCTGGCTGCCGCTGTCGTCTAAACGACGGTCCTTTGTGTCTGTGCCGATCCTCTTCAACTTTGAGGGACTTGACGTGATGCTGAGGAGGATTGGTTTGTTATTTCCTGAAAAGCTGCCCGTCTTTCTCTCAGCGTGGACCGGAGATCGGATTGGCCGTGGTTTTTGAAAAGGGGGCCAGTCAGGAAACTGATTTGCAAACACTCGTAGAATCCCTTTTTCTGGACTGAAATCAGTTTCTGGGCGTCAGACTGAGTGAATTTTCTTCCTCTAATGATGTTAAACGTGTTCCCAGATGGACGGACGCCTCGGTGATTAATGAGTCCCCTCCTCTCGTCTTACTGTTTCTGCTACAGGAGAGCGAGATCATGTTCTCTGCGTTTATTTGTTCAGGGACTTTGTGGAGGGACTGAACAAACAGGCAGCAGACTGATATAAGAACCTCTTCATTGGGAGGAACAGATCTTCACGTCTTTACAGTCGGAGTCTGATCTGCTCAGATTTGCATGAAATCAGCGAACAAAGAGGAAAAGCTGCTCAGTGATCGAAACAATCCAACCACCACAGATCGGATCACGCAGCCTTCTTTACAATCCTTGGTTCTGATTGGTCAAAACCCCATAACAACATTAATTAACTGTGAATATCAACGGTGAGGCCTCTGGCATATTTCACCTCTAACTGTTGACACTCGGGGCTCTATTTTCATGCCCGCCGGCAGCACGGCGGAGGGTGGCGGACCCTGCGCAGTGTTTTTTTTTCGTCTGGTGGAGCCCGGCGTACCGCCAGTTTGGTATTTTCATGGACTGAGGCGCACCGAGGTCCGCCAAGCTGGGCGTGGTGACGCGGTAGGAGGAGGTGTCTACAGAATCAGAGGGCGCAGTGACATTTGTGTGCACAACCCACCTTTGTCACGTGAGGTTTGAACTTTATGTGAGTGTCTTTATTTGTGTTTGTCTTACCACTGGGTCCAAACTTACACACACCAAATCCATCTGTGCTCATATGAGAGAGTGTGGAGGACGCCCTCTGCAGCGCCTACAGGGACACTTGTTGAGGAGCTGCCTTCTGTCGCCATCGTGTGGCGTTGCTGTCTTCAGACATCTCTTGATCTCTTCGACTACTTCACGAAAATTGTAATACGCCTCGCCGGCGGATTTAAAGGCGAGGAGAGGAGCTGATGTTACTGGTGAAAACAGGTCTTGGCTGTGTTAAACCCACTCCACGCCTTCTCTCCTCCCTCGCTACAACTTACGCTGCTGGGAGGAGCTGAGTTAGGGAGGGGGGATACTTACGCCGGGCTGCGCCGCTCACCAAAATACCAAAATGTGCTTGGGCACGCCTTGTCGGCGCGGTGGACCTGACTTACGCCGCCAGTGAGGCACGAAAATAGAGCCCAGAGTCTGCGTGTAAAACTCCTCAGACTTTATATGAGAATTCAGAAAATGAAGGAACAGTGTTTCCTGTTTCCTGTGTGAATGAGACCGTCTCTCAAAGTTCTCAGACCGTTAGAAAGTTCTGGTCCGGACTGATTTATCTTCATTTAAAGAACTAAGACTCTTCTTCTGAGAGAAAGAGAGAAAAAGATTTATTTTCACCAGAGAGAGTGTGACCTGACACACACACACACACACACACACACACACACACACACACACACACACACACACACACACACACACACACACACACAGCTGAGGAAGGAGGCGGAGCATTAATCCTGGTTGGAGCTCCAGGTTGAACATGAAAACATCCTCGTTCTGAAGAACTTGTTGCCTCAGCTGCAGGGCGCCCACTTCCCATCTGACCTTTGACCTCCCTCAGAAAGGAAGCACGCCAGAGGAACTATTTCTACTCAGAAATCGATAAAGAAGAGTGGAGGTACATGTGCGCTTTATCACACAGAAAGAAACCAGGTCTTAGATTTCCCAGTCCAACATCTGCTCCTCGTGCAGAGGTCTGGACTCTCTCCTTCTTCTCCTTCTTTTCTTCTTCTTCTTCTTCTTCTTCTTCTTCTTCTTGAAGCTCAGATTTTATTGATCAGTCGTTCGTCTTCTTTAAAGAGTCACCATTCATCCTTTGATCGATCACTTTCTTTGTGTGTTGGTCCATAATTTAATTGGCTGACCCTTTTAATGGACCGTTGACCTCTGACCTTTTGGCCGAGGCTGAATGGAGAAAAATCCATTACTGGCAAAACCAACCGGAGCCGCTGAGATTTATGGGTAAAGGCGCTCTGGACTGATCAGCTACGATCTAAACGAGGCCGCAGCTGAGAAATATATGATGAAGAAAAACCTGATATCTGTTAAGAGAGCAGAGACGGGCACGGCAGTCACTACAGTCAGTTCATGAAGAAGATTCGTTCAAAAGATTCGTTCAAAAGATTCGTTCAAAAAGAATCGTTCAAAAAGAATCGTTTTTGTTCCGGGGTTACAGGGCGTGGCGCACGCACACATGTATTGTCCGTATTGTTGTCGGACTAAAGTGTTCACATGACCTTCAGTTGTCCGGTCTTAATCGGAGTAACTGGCTGAACCCACAGGATCCGGAACGGCTCCACTCTGCTCCAGACCAGCAGGTGGATCGGATCCACAAGCACACAGCGCCCTCTGGATTTTTTTATTAAACTCAGTAACTCCGAGGCGACGGTCGCTGCAGCGCTCCGACAAACCAAACGGATTTGAAGTGTGAAAAATACGGTTTATAAACTCCCACAACCCGGCCTCCCCTATTATTGAGTTAAGAACTGTTCAATGTAGTGACTTTATTTTATTTTGAAAATTAAACAGATATTTTACTCTGAAACTGCAAACAACTTCCTCTGCTGCCTTCGCTGCGCTGCACTGAATTAATGCGCCGCGCTGCAGCGTCCGGCAAAAATAAAAGCCTCGTGTATCTGACCCGGCTGATCTGATCCACAGCCGAGCCGGACGCCGGACAGATTCTGTGACTCACATTGATTATGATGCTCGCAGATTTGACCCGCTGGCCGTGCCGGAGCAGAGCGGAGCGGAGCGGGGCGGGGCGGCCAGCGGGGCGGGGCCGTTCCCGATCCTGTGAGTTTTGCCCGTTAGGCAATAATTCGTTTGTCTCGAGCGTCATGAAAACGTACCGACCGAAGACAAAACTGGTGACTCAAATTTAGCTTCTACTCTGAGTCTACGTTCAGACTGCAGGTCAGTTCTGATTGGTTCTGATCCGACCCTCTTCTGTATGTGGATATAAATCTGATATCTGATGTGACTGCAGTGTGACGCTCAGGTCGCGTTCATGAGGGTCACTTCAGGGACACATTCGTTGTTGTGATGTGAACGACCGCACAAGAAGATCGGAGTTAATGGAAAATCCGAATTGTGCGTCAGTGTGATCGTAGATCCTTAGAGGATGTTTTATTTTGTGATTAATTTTTTTATTGTGACTGCTGTGGTGTTTGTTTTTGCCCTTCAGGGCCACCGTAGAATCACCATGATGTCGTCTGATCGTGTGAAAGAAAACGTGACTTCACCTTTAAATGAGTCACCAGTCCGATCAATCAGTTAGTTATAGTGACCAATAACTGATCAATTAAAGCATCATCTTGAACCTCCGTACCTCTTCATCTGTGAGGAGGAGCGTGGTTGGAGATATCTCCACCTCCTCCTTCACCTCCTCCCTCCGCTCTGATCGGGGATCTCTTCACTTCGCTCTGTAGTAATGAGGGAGTGTGAGGCGGCGTGTCAGTTTGAGCGCGGTCCGTGGGAGGGGTCTGCCAAACCTTCTCCCTCTAATTGACCAGAGGGAGCAGAAGCAGCCGAGGGAGCGAGGAGAGAGGAGAGAGGGAGGGAGGAGAGAGGGAGGGAGGGAGGAGGGAGGAGGGAGGAGACTCCAGCAGACCGCGGGTCTCTGCGTCTTCATCAGCCTTTATTGAATCTCAGCAGGTGGACGTGGACTGATGAGCGCGGTGTAGTGGGGATGACTTTGTGCAGCCGGACTGTTGTTGTGTGTCTCTGTGTGTCAGATCATGGGGGGGGGGAGTTTACAAAATTGCTTATCCCTACTTTAAAATGCTGGCGGTGCACAGAAGAGGAGCCGAGGAGCAGAGCGGATCCTGCGTGTGCGTGGACTTCTGCCGTGAAATCCTCTCAGGTAGTTTGATGATGAGTCTGTTCTGAGGGGGACGCATGGGTCGGATGAAAACCAGGTTCCGATGGCTGATCTCGAACTGTTCTACTATGATCCAGCGGGTCCCGGGGACCCCTCCCCGGATCTAAAGAAGCTGCGGATCCACGAGCGGAGCTGCTGCGCCGGAGGAAAGTCTCTGTATCCGGGCGGAGAGGAGGCTTCAGCTCCGGGGACGGAGGCGCGAGGAGCCGCGTGGACACGGGAGGAGACGGAAACATCCTTCACGCGCAGAAAGCAACACGAGGAAGAGGAGGAGGAGGAGGAGGGTGTAAAGTTGATCGAGACAAGTTCAGTAACCTGCAGACAGAGCTCATCAAGTGAGGAGGAGGAGGAGGAGGAGGAGGTGATGGAGGAGGAAGAGGAGGAAGAGGAGGAAGAGGAGGAGGAGTACCCGGAACTTTACTTGCTGTCCGATGAAGACCTCTCCTCTGACGGCTCGGGGAAGTCCGTGGATTACGGGTTTATTATCGCGGTGACATGCTTGGTGACTGGGATCTCCCTGGTCGCCATCTCCTACACGGTCCCCCGGGAGGTCCGCGTGGACCCGGACAGCGTCTCCGCCCGGGAGATGGAGCATCTGGAGAGGGAGAAAGCCCGAGTAGGGGCCCATCTGGACCGGTGTGTGATAGCGGGACTGTGCCTGCTGACCCTCGGGGGCGTGCTGCTCTCCACCCTGCTCATGGTCTCCATGTGGAAGGGGGAGATGATGAGGAGGAAAGCCTTCGCCTACTCCAAACACGCGGCCAAGCTGTACGGCTCCATGAGTCTGAGAGGAGCGGGATCCAGTCCGACCCGGGAGTCCTGCTCCCGTCTGTCAGGGACTGATGAGGACTTCGAAGTTCTCAGCTGAACTTAGAGACTGAGGGGAGAACTTCAGACATGGACCAGAGGATCTGATCTCTTTTTTTAATGAGAGTGGACTTTAAATAAGGGTGGGTTCACTTTTTTAAAGTCTGTCTTAAAGGGATATTCTGTCGTAAAATTAATTCAGGGTCAAACCCACCGAGTTAGACCCCCCCTCCAGAGATGAATGTTGTCGACCGCTTGCTTCTCTAGTTATACCAACTTTAGTAACGACCGCAGGATAGTAATACAGAGAGACACGCCCCCAACCAAAACGCCACTCTATAGCCACAAATAATGCTCAGAACAGCACCTAACTTCATCAACAGGACATATAGGGTCACAGACATAGTACTAGACACCAAACATCTTTTTAACTTTGACTCATTTCTTTAACAAAGAGACTAAACACAACTCACCTACTCTCTTCCAGCAGCCGCTTGTTTGTAGAGAGACCTCAGGTCAGTCATTTCCTTGAAGTAATAATCAGAAGCGGTAGTTCTTCTTCCTTATCGGCAGTTTCCTCAGCATCTGTAACGTCTCCTAAAAGGTTGTATCCTCCGATCGTAGCTGATCGTAACCATTCAAGTTAACGTGTCAATTTACACCGACTTCTCTCCGTTCCTCTGCGGATCGCCGGACTATTTTTTCTGGACGCCGGAGCATGGCGGATAAATTCAGCACAGATTAACCCGTGCTGGAAAGGAAGTCGGGCACAGACACAAAATAAAACATCCGGCTTCTTTTCAAAATAAAACACTCCTTCTTTCAGGAGGATTGTATTTCACACCATGCAAACGGGTGGAGACGAACAAGTGAAAGGTTTTTAGACGTCATTTCACCCCGATGACACCATGGATGAGGTGATGCTGATTCTAGAAGTCTAGAAGTAGATTTCCTCCTCTGGAAGGACACAATCTACTGCTTATATGTCTATGTGTCTGTCTTTAGAGAGACAACTCGTTATCGTGTGATTGAACGTGAATCTGCAGGTTCTTCTGAGTTCTTGTGATTCCTGCTATCTGTACTCCGCCATGAAATTCGCCTCACAAACAGACTCGGCAGGAATTGGCGTATGGCGAAAATTCGCCGCCCCTCCAGACTGAAGCCACTCTGGATGAATCACGGGCTAGCGTCTCGGTCTGATTGTATTTCCAAAAAGAAATGATCATAAATGTTCTTCCTTGAGCTGCGTCACCCCGCTGTAGTCCGTAATGGACTGGTCTGAGGTCTCTCTACAAACAAGCGTCTGCTGGAAGAGAGTAGGTGAGTTGTGTTTAGTCTCTTTGCTAAAGAAATGAGTCAAAGTTAAAAAGATGTTTGGTGTCTAGTACTATGTCTGTGACCCTATATGTCCTGTTGATGAAGTTAGGTGCTGTTCTGAGCATTATTTGTGGCTATAGAGTGGCGTTTTGGTTGGGGGCGTGGCTCTCTGTATTGCTATCCTGTGGTCGTTACTAAAGTTGGTATAACTAGAGAAGGAAGCGGTCGACAACATTCATCTCTGGAGGCGGGGTCTAACTCGGTGTTACGGTGGGTTTGACCCTAAATTAGTTTTACGTTGGAATGTCCCTTTAGTTCTCTTCACACAGACGGAGGTTTTGTCGTTCCTGTTTTCCACACTGGCTCTGAAAAGATCCGTTCCTAATCCAATTCTAGTGATCGGGGCAAAAGTCACAGTCCTGATTTTTCTGTTAAACTGAAGTAAAACTAAAAGGTGAGGCGGTTTCATTTACTGAACTACACATTGATAAAAACAGACCTGGATCTGCTTTACTGAAGGCCTGTTTCCTTAGACAGTTGAGAGGCTGTGAATTATAATCCATGAAGTCCAGGCTGATCATGAACGGTTGATCAGTTGCAGAGATGTTTGGTACTTTTGAATCGCTCAGAGACAGAAAACAGCACCAAAGATCCTCGAGTCATATCTCCAAATACGAGATCTCACATGTGTAAGAAACACTGTGGGATAAAACCGTTTGTTTTCACCTTTAATGGCTGAAACCACAAATTATGGCCAGAAAATTCAACGTTTTTTGGAGCTGAAATGTTTATTAAATTTACCAACCAAAACCAAAAAATCTAAACGTCCTTAAAATTGAACAGATATGTTTATTTACCTCTTTGTTACGTTAGATGTTTTTGGAAACTGATGAACCACAAGAGGACATTTTTGTGATTTCTGGGACTGTGTTCAGGTGTTGATACAGGAGGCTTTAAAGGGTGAAGGAGTTCTCATACTTTTGGATTTCAAAAGTCATCGGTTCGTCTGTCCAGTCCTGGATCCTGGACCCAGAAAGTCACATGACGCCTGTTTGTTTACTCACATCCATGTCTTTTCATTGGTTGAAAATAGCTGCCATCGAGAGCCACCAAAGAGGAAAATAACTGGTTACCAATGGCAACCTGGTCACTGTCTCTTTCCAGCTTGGTCACATTTCTGATCTACATTCAGGTGTTCGATGAACGGACCTGCAGTCACAGTCTGACAAGGTTAGATGTTGTCATGAATCGGACGGATTAGCATCAGAGTCACCGAAGTCTTGATGACTCATCCAAGGACTTTCTCTCGGTTTGAGGTGAAGTCGATGAAATCTGATAGAAAATGATGTAAAGCGTTTGTAACTGAAGCTGAGAGAACGTTTGGACCCACCAATGAGAACATTCAAATAACATCAAATCCATCAAACTGGGCAGAAACGTTTGTACTTTGAGGAGGTTAATCGAATCACTCGACTTCCTGTCCCACGACCACAACGTTAACATTTGAGTCGTTTTAGTGTCTGCAGCTAAAACAGGAAATACTGTCATGGAAGTTTGATGGTTTCAAACCATTTAAAGCTGATAATTGATAATTGGAAACTACGTGTTAAAGGTCAAACATGCTCATTTTGAATTTGATGAAAGCAGCGTGTTTCATAAACGTTTGGACTGGGACAACAAAAAATGAAACACCTGGAGGAGCTTCCTGCTGCCGGTCAGAAACACGCTGAGTCAGTGAGAGTCAACAGTTTTTAAACAATTAGGGCTGCAGCTGTTTTAGTAATCGAGTATTCTTCTGAATGTTCCATCGATTACTTGAATAATCCATCCCAAACACCAGATTCACATACAGGGAGATTTCCTATGTCACAAATCCAGGCTCCGCCCCCGGAGCCCTGCTATGCCAGCCTCGCTCGGAAACATAGAGAGGACGATCGCGGGACAAGTGTGTGAGTGAGCGGATTACAATGTTCGTAAGAAAGCTAATGATGATATTAAAGGGATATTCCAACGTAAAATTAATTTAGGGTCAAACCCACCGTAACACCGAGTTAGACCCCGCCTCCAGAGATGAATGTTGTTGACCGCTTGCTTCTCTAGTTATACCAACTTTAGTAACGACCGCAGGATAGAAATACAGAGAGCCACGCCCCCAACCAAAACGCCACTCTATAGCCACAAATAATGCTCAGAACAGCACCTAACTTCATCAACAGGACATATAGGGTCACAGACATAGTACTAGACACCAAACATCTTTTTAACTTTGACTCATTTCTTTAGCAAAGAGACTAAACACAACTCACCTACTCTCTTCCAGCAGACGCTTGTTTGTAGAGAGACCTCAGGCCAGTCCATTACAGACTACAGCGGGGTGCCGCAGCTCAAGGAAGAACATTTATGATCATTTCTTCATCATCAATAATCAGACATATCTCTGTAGTGGAAGTCTCAGCATGGGGTCAAAATGTCCTCTGACCTCTCTGTCTCCGTGTCCAACTGCGTCAGTCTTACCGCCGGACTCAGACGTCCGTTTCTGTGTTCGTCTCGCTCCAAACGAAGCGGTTCAGTTCAGAGGAGAGATGATCTGCCTCCCCGGGGTTCTGGGAACATCCAGCCGAGCTTCACATCCTCTCAGTTTGTCACAGAGAGGAGAAGTTTGAAAGGATGTTGTGTTCTGTGCGATGTGTTTTTCCTCTGGATTAAAATGTTAAACTCCCCTCCTACAGCTTACAGCCTGCTGATGTTCGACTCTTTGAAATCCAAGTCCGCAGATTTGTAGGCAGGCCCTTTTTTTCTCCTGCCTTTATACACTGAGAGCGCCACACGGGCTGAACAGATTTCTATCATTAAAACTGCATTTCCAACATCTCTCTCTGTTGGTCCTTTTGAAGTTTGTGCTGCAAAGACAAACCGAGCAGATTTCCTGACTCCACAGAGGTAACTGTTGTCTCACAATAAAACACAGAACAGTCTTTGCAGAGATGTTTCTGTTTCCCTGATTACCGTGTCCGTCATGACTGTTTGTTTACCGCTGGATCTCCTAATGATGCTGCCGTTTCTGTGTGTTTACATGCGTGTGTGTCGAAGGCCTCGTTGTTCCTGCTTTCATTCCCCACCTCGTCTGTTCGGCGAGTGCAGATCTAGTTGAACCAAAACACGAGGGCGAGTCGCTCGTGATTGCCTGCGTTTACTGGAATAGTCGGACCGCAGGAGGTGTAATTAGGTTTTGTGGTTGAGCACCGATGTCGGCTGCTCCGTTTCTACCAAATACACTCGGGAGAGGGTTTGAGTGCAGATGTTTAAACGCACACAGAGTGAGACAGAGAGAATCAACAAACCCCTGGAGGGACGCTCTCCTGGTAATTGATGTTACTTAATTGCTCGTGGGAGGCCTGCAGTTCTGAGAGAAAAAGCATTTGAACAACAGCCTCCATCAAACCGGAAACAGACGCTTATCAAAAGCCAAAAGGACTCCAGCTGCAAAACCGGAGCGAGACGTGACATTAAAACCAGGAGGGGGCGGAGTAATGGACGGCCTGCTGCTCTGACAGGAGACGCCGTGAATGAACCACCATGTTTTCTTCCTCTGTAATTGGAGGCGGGATCACGTTATCCTTCCTCGCTCTCACCTCATTAATGTGATTTAAGAAACGCAGTCAGCTGACCTCTGATGAAACATCCACCTGATTTCTAACCCTGGTTTTAAACTCCGGACTCTTCCTGCTCCTGTAGGTGATCACGTCTCCCCAGATTGACTTCATCTGTGAGCGCGCTGCGTTAACGCTGTGGGATTACAGAGGGTGGGACGACATCGTAAAAGCAGGACAGGGAGCGAGCGAGTGAGTTTCACAGTATGGAAACATGAAAGTCAGACTCTTAAATCAAAACTCTCGCTCTGCTGAGACTCGGCGAGTCTGCGGGGAAACCGGCTCAGAGTCAGAATCTATTTCTCCCCCGGTGACGTTCGTTTAAAATGATTCAGTTTGGAGGGATTCACTGACGTTTAGTGCTGCTGAGGAAACAAAACACTGACAACAACAACAACAACAACAACAACAACGACAACGACAACGTTATTGTTTGTGAGAAAAAAATCATGAAGTCTTAAAATGAGAGAGAAGTAGGGCTGGGCGATAAACTGACAATTTACAGAAACCAAAATTTACAACAATAACCGACGTCATTTTACCCATGTCGGTATATTAGGTGTCAAAAATAAATAAAGTTGTTTTTGGATGTGTGTAGGTAGGCTATGGTCTCATGTCCCTTTAAGATGCTGTCCTACTTCATAAAAAAATTTAAAAATCTTCAGATTAATCAGTAATCAGATTTTTCCCCCCCTAATAATCGGTATCGGCACGGGCTCCAGAAAATCCATATGGGGCCCTGATATAAAGTCTCCTTAATTCTTTTTTAAAGAATATTTCAAACTTTTTCGTAACCGTTTGGACAAAAACTCTTTATGTGACTTTGATAAACTTTATAAAAACTTATTTAAGGAATGAAAAAACTATTTCCTCTGTTTCTATAATTTTCTCCGTCTGTTAAATCAGATGTTGTGATGTTGACCCTCCTCAGAGGTAAACTACACTTAAGCAGCGCCGACATTTACACCGTCTCACAGTCGTTTCCTTTTCTCTGTTTATTAATTCATGAAAAACCTCCCGGTCTTGATCAGCTCCAGCGATGCTCCATCATCAGTTTTCTGCAGGATTTCATGATTCGTCTTGTTGCTGATTAACTCGCAGATTTTCATTCTAACCTCGTGTGTGACGTTTACAGATGAGAACATGAGAAAATGAGAAAATGAGAAAAGTCAAAGTGGAAAAGTTTGAGCATTTTTCAGCCAATTTGAAGAAATCATCAGTTAAATAAAAATTTAAACTGACTTTTTTAGGTAAAACAGATTAAAAGAGATTTGAAGAAGATCAGAATGAGACTGAATATGAGGTTGGAGCTTTAATTCATCACACAGATGTAAAATAAACATGCATGTTTAAACAGTAAAAGGATCTAAAACTGAGGGACTGATTTATTAAAATCTCCGATTGTTGATTTTCTCCTCTGAGTTAAAGCGACAGGTACGCCCCTCCCCCCACAACCTCCTGAACGACAGCGTGAGAATCTGCCGCCGTGTCGGTCTGCGCAGGATTTAAACGTAGAGAGAAATTTGATAATAAATGATGTGGAGCTGATTTCACTTCTAAACTTGCTCCTCTTCTCCCTCTGCTCGGCCACTTCTCCTCCTCCTCCTCCTCCTTCTTCTTCTTCTTCCTCCAAGCTGTGGCTGCCTGCCGTTGCTATGCGACAATCAGAGTAACGAGAATCATTATTGAATAAGTCATTAACTTAAGGTAATAGTTCAAGAGAGGCATTTCAGACCTGCAGACACCATCTTAGTCCTGATTTAGCCGACGGTGAACAAAGTGAGAGAAGAGGAGGAGGAGGAGGAGGAGAGGAGGAGGAGGAGGAGAGGAGGGGAGGAGGTTTTCTGAGTGGGTATGACAGCTGATGATAAGTGGCTGCCAGACGCTGATGTAAAAACGCCGCCGCCATGAAGCTTTTCTCCTTCCTGGTCCCCGGAGTCCACCGCCACACCCAGACTCTTGACCCCGAGTGACCCCTGCAGCAATCCAATTCCATTTCCTGCTGCCAGCTGCCCTGAATGATTACTGTGACTGAGTCCATTCATGGAGGAGTGTGTGTGTGTGTGTGTGTGTGTGTGTGAGAGTTTGTGTGTGTGTGTGTGTGTGTGTGTGTGTGTGTGTGTGTGTGTGTGTGTGTGTGTGTGTGTGTGTGTGTGTGTGTGTGTGTGTGTGTGTGTGTGTGTGTGTGTGTGTGTGTGTGTGTCCTTGTTTATTACAGGTTTGATTTTGTCTCCTGCTAAACAAACAGACACCGGTTAAATCCGCTGCAGAGTCTCCGCCCCTCTTCATCACTAACGGCGCTCCTCTGCCTGAAAGCGTTTCGATGCGCCGCAGTCGTTACGACCACACCGCTGACTCCACATGAGGGAGGTCTGCGTTTGTGTGATGTCAGAACGGCGGCTGATCCATCAGAATTTAACCAGAAGAGAGGACAGAGAATCTGATTGGCTGATATCATGTTTGCTCGCAGTGATGAGGGGCGTTTCGTTTTTTTGACTGGGGTCGTGTTTGTGTCGTTCACGAACGATCCGTTCAAAAGAACTGAACTGCTGAGTGAACGACACACATGGACTCACTCTGAGACCTGATTGGTTCCTCAGTTCAGTGGAGCTCAGCCGTCAGCCCGCCGTGTCGGTCGGGAGTGAAACTGCCGCCTTTGAGTCTTTGATGAACAAACGACATATATCAGTCAGACTGAACAAAACGAACGACCTCTGAACGACTTGAAGCAGGCAGAGGCGGGAGGGGCGTGGCTTCGTTCATGAACTGACGAGTACCGAGGAAACAGCACGCTGTTTAAAATCTTTAAAGGTACCAGAATCCCCGCTACTGCGGCGATGTTTATTCATTTTTAATCTCGCCACTTTTCTCCGATATAAAAGAACGAGGACTTGCGCTTGTTTAGCTAGCATGCTGCTCGCTGCTGCGTTGTTTCACTTTCACTGCGATGCGAATGTCAGCGTCACACAGAGAGGTGAGTTTCTCAGGGCAGGGGAGCGATTCTTCCGTCACGACTTGGCGAATGAACGACACGTGTCAGTGATCGACGCTGTGACTCCATCAGCAGGTCCTGGGTCGACCACGAGGTCTCCTCCCGGTGGGACATGTCAGGAACACCTCTAACGGGAGGCGTCCAGAAGGCGTCCTCACCAGACGCCCGAGCCACCTCAGATTACCGTTGAAAATACCGTTGATGGACCAATGATGGAAGTAAGTACCGTTCATTCACCGCCTCGATGAAGCGAGTCGATGATGTCACTCTCCTTCGGTGTGAGCGCTCCATCGAGGGTCATTAAAACTCTGATGGCGCTCACCGGGTCGGTTAAAACATCCTGTTATGTAGATGAAGGTGAAACAGCGAAGTTTGGAGGTTTAATCGGAAACTTTCAGTCATAAAAACTTCATTTAAAGGTTTTTTATTTGGAGGGTTTTTAATAAAGTTTGTTCATAAAAAGTTTCCTGCTGAAGTTTGAGTCATTTTTTAAATTTCTATCTGATCAGAGAGTCAGAGAGAAAGAGACTCCAGGGGTCCATCCTCTGACCTCTGAACACGGTGTGAACCTCCAGACCAACAACCCCCCAAGTCTGGGTTCAAGTTAGATCTGGATCTTCTTAGTTTGTGAAACCGAGTCTGGATCTGAACTGAACTGTATGAGCAGGGATTCTTCCTCTTCTCCTTCTTCTTCTCCTTCTTCTCCTCCTTTGTCCTTCCTCTTCTCTTCCTTCTCCTCCTTCGTCCTTCTCCTCCTCCTTCTCCTCCTCTCCTCCTCCCCTCCTCCTCCTCCTCTCTC